TTCTGCACTCTAATGCAGATAGTCCACATGTCCATTTCCTAAAACCAGAAGGATTTCCCTGTCTGCATCTTTTGTGTCATGTCTGTACAGCCTAGACCTCGCCCAGGCTCATCTTGGCTGCAGTGCTTCTCCACTTGGCTGCTTTTGGTCATAGTTTTTATTCGTAGCAGTGTCCTGACTGATGCTTTAAAATTGCAGCTGTTAACTGGGTGAGTTACCAGGCAAACAGTGACTACTTCAGCTATAGCAATGATGTTGTTTTCAAACTTTCTCCAACTAATGAGTCATTAAATGTAGTAATAAAGGGGTTTGTTGGGGCCGTGTGTCCCTTGGAAACACTCAGCCCATGCTGATTACAGTGGGTTAGCAAAGAGCTCAAGGCTGATAAGTGTGTGGGAGGGGTCAGAGAACAGTAATGGTTAGAGGAGTTGAAAATAGTTGTGGGAAATGTTAATTACACGTCTTGTTCACATCAACTTTCCCCTCCCATTGAAAACAAAGCTCATTTTAAAGACACTTGTAAAAGTTGCTCTTTAGGAATCAAACTCCCTTGTGTCTCAATAACTGGTAACATGCCAGAAATGTAAAACTGCAGTAGAGTAAACAAAGAACTCATCTGTGCACAGTTGTTTTAGTCTCAATTAAAGCTAGAAATACGGTTTTGCCTGACTGTGGTGCCACATTAGGGCCAGTGCACTGCTTTGCTCTGTGGGCCTAATCCAGATTCTGAAGAGGACAAGGGAGATTTTTCCACTGACTTCCATGACCTTTGGCCCAAGTCTGCTATTGATTTCCAAAGACCCATGGACTGTCTTACAGACAGGTAGTGCCCTTCAACAATGAGCTTTGCAACTTAAAGACCCTGTTCTGCAGTTATCAAAATGTGCAAGTGCATTGACGTGTGTGACTGAGCAAAGCTAGTAACTTGCATAGACGTTTGTGTTATGTTAAATTCTAATAAAAGATGACAGTGAGGGGAAGGTATACAATAAAAATAAGATGATGAGAGATGTGCCCTTAGCAAATTCTTACCTTATAACTAAGCAGTATATGTCTGTGTAGTTCATGTTGCTAAGAGATTGCACCATATTTACTATTCAAAGCAGCAGAGCATTATAGCATAAAGCTGGTTCTTCTCTGGTTAGTCCCTTAGCCAAACTCCAGAGCCAAAAGTTTTTTGGGTGTAGGTAAATCTAACAGATATTTAACTTCAGAACTTATGCTTATGTATGTTTCATAGCCACAAAACTGTCAAATCACAAATGGCAGGCGGCCCTCTGAAAATGATGTCCGTAGGAGGAAGAATGTTGTACCTGAACAGTGGTATGTCTGCAACACTGCAGAAGTCAGGAAGACGTTAATTAAGAGAGGAGAAGTTTTCATGCAGATACCGAGAGAATATGTACTTTAAATAAAAAAAAAGTGGACAAGTTTTGTTGGCAAGATTCCAATATTGTTTCGAGCTACTTAAGAAAAAACAGAACTCTTAAAATATGTAATCCTTTTCCCCAGTGAAAACCCTGTCTTTCCTTTTCTTGAGTGACAGTCTTATGCAAGTAATAGAATGACTGAGTAATTTGCTCCATTGAAAGTAAATGCTAGTTTTTGAAAGCTTTAAAGGGAAAATTTCATATAAAATAGAGAAAACCAGGATTTTTGTTGCCTTTTTGTAAATGTTCCTATGTTTCAAAAAAATGCATGGCATTAAATAAGGTTATCAGGTCCCCACCCTGTGCAAGTTCTAACCTACCTGCAAAATTGGTGATTAATTTTATTCTTTCCTAGGTTGCACTTACAGCTCTATCTCCAAGTTATTTCAGAGATAACATAGCTCCCTGAGCCATGTTTAACGTAATCAAAATAATCATGTAAGTGCAGGAACCCCAGGATTAAAGACAACTAAAACTAGCTATAATTAGACAGATATCTGTGGAAGGTTATATACATGGTAAATATGATGCAGAAAGTTGTCCTGTATTCAGTTCTGTTTCCAGGGTCAACCTCTATGAGTTTTTAGGATTTTCAAACCCAGGTTGTTGACAGAAACTCAGGACTCTTGGCTCATGTTTCAGTCTCCAAATTATTCTGTTTTCTGTTCGTGGACATACCAGGCCAGCATCAGGCACTGTATCTGTGCTTCTCTGAAAGGGAATCTGTCTTGACCTATACTGGCTACTGGCCTACACAACTTGGAAGGGCATCTTTCACATGTGGTCCCGCCCCTGTCCAGGAATCCCTGAGAGTGTTTCTGTCGTTTTCCAGAGACTTTTTGCTGGAGTAATAAAGCTTTTTTTTTTTTTTTAATTAATTGAAAGGGGTCAGAGCTCTCCCAGTATCTGCTTACACTGTGCCTCTCCCAGCCAGGCAAGTGCGTTTTTAGCAGCTCTAAGTTGAGGGAAATTTTAAAAACTGCAGGCATGATAATAATGACACGATAAATCTGATTACAGTAAAGTGCTGTGAGCTCAGGCTTGGCTTTAAAAAAAAAAAACAAAACCCAAACACATCAAAATACAAAAAAATGCAACAATACAAAACAATTCAAAACCAATAGAAATAATTCCTTAAAAAATTATAATAGTGATAGGCTTGCTTTTAAAGTGATGACTAGCCCCTGGCAGAACTCGGGATCTCTGAAAAAGCTGGAGCACTCAGAACCTAAAATACAGAAGATAAAATATTAGACTTACATAAAATCAGTTGTGCTAGCTTTTCACTGGCCCCACTGAGAGGAGAGCACCCTCTTTCCTGATTAATAAAGGATTGATTTATTGATAATAAAGTGCATCTGACATTTACTCAGAATGGTAGATTTTACAGGCAGTAACCTGACAACTTGAACCAGCTGTTTGTAGCTGCACGTTAAAAACTGTGACCATGGGCTTTCATGCTTCTCTCCCTTCCCCACCTTGGCTTTCTTGTAGCAGCCACAGCAGCATCCTTATCTTGCAGGAACTGTGATGCATTTTTGCTGTTGCCCATGTTTACCCCCTTGGTAACTTTTTCTTTCCTGTTTTTCACTTATTTTGGACATTTTATAACAAGTGGTGGTGGTCTTGTGTAGTATTGTTCCCTGAGGTTTAAGAAGCATTCATTCATTGCCGGAAATGATATGTGAAATGGTATTCTTTAGAAAAATGTTTTTTTCCCGCATAAAATGAAAACTGAACATGTTAAAAGGCATCACATACAGAAAGTGTGCTGAAGAACTCTGAAGTGTATGGAATGTTCCCAGCTACCTCCTCCGAGGATTTCTTCAGCACTTGTTAATTAGAACCCCCCATCAATTGAAGAAGTCTGCCAGTTGTCACATATATTAGCATATTATCTCCAAAGTTAGAAATTGTTTGATTGACCATATTAAGTGTAAATTGGCCTGGGAGCACCTAACTTCAGTGAAACTCAGTGAGATGATTAATTATTATTCTTCAGGGTAACTAAACCATATGGCAAAACTAACTTCTGTAACTGAGGAAGTGCTGGGAGGCGCTGAGCGGGGAAACAATCATATTTAAAAGGAACATTCAAGGCACTTAATGTGTCTTGATATTGAGAAGGATGAATGTCAGCGGAAAACATACTCATTTGTTTACTAAAAAATAACACTAGCGAAATACTGATGTGCTCTAACCTCTTTGAATGTACAAGAAGTGATATAAATAACTCAATGCACTCAATAACTGTGCATCAGTTGCAAAACCCGGTAAATCTATTGTTTAGACCTGTGAACAGGAAATCAGACTTCTAGTAAAGTTCCCTGTGAACTAGGAGACAAGGTTGCTGTGGGCTTAGCCCAGATGCATAATTTTGTGTGTCATACGGGTAGAAGATTTAAAAAGGGCATCTATTTACATGCAAATCATCCTTCCACTTCAGTAGCAAAACAGTTCTACATATAAATGTGTGCTGACCACCAGCATGCAAGAAGATTGTGCCTAGAAAAATGCCCTTTGATGTTAATTTATTTATTTTTATTTAGCTTGGGTTGTTTTTATGTATTTATTATATATACATATAAATATATATACACATAAATAAATATACTCTATTACAGTATTTTTGCACAATGAATAAGGACACCCAGACTTGACTACTGATGTTTATTGAATCATTCATACCAAATAAACACTTTTGGGAGTCTGACCACAGAAAGTAAAAACGTTCCTTTGAGAGGGGGGAAATCAGAAACCCTTATTGGAAGAAAAATTGTCTGCTTCTTTCATTATTAAGTGTCTGAGGAGCAGGCATGATTTCAAGTGGTATGGCTGAAATGTGGACACCCAGGTGGGAGTTCTAGTACGGGGTGTATGCCGTCAGGTTCACAACTTCCAGTTGAGATGCTCTGGGTTGCATTAACCCTTTGCACTGTGCAGCCTCTTAGATGAAAAGGGGGCTTATATCTCAGTTCCAAGTCAAACTATGAAGTCAGTCATCTAATCTGTTCCAGTTAGAACCGTTCCTGTCTCTGTTTAGTGCTTACAGTCTGGACAGGTTGTACTGTGCAAGGGTTCAGGCCTCATTAATGTATCATTTAAAATTGAAAACCTATTCAATTTCATTTTGAAATACTTGGCATATATTGTTCTTCTTTCTCCCTCTTTTTTAATTTATTGATTTCACTGATGTGGGAGGAAAACATATAATTATTCCACTTTAGTAGCATCATAACAGATATGTAAGAGCCTCTTTTAGTTATTTGGGAACAGAAAATTGGACACACATAGTAGGATTATTCTGGGGTCTGGACCAATACGGAAATGAGCACACTCAACTTCCTAAAGCTGGGGGAGTTGGAGACTCTCAGTACTTGCCTGTCCCATTCAACTGGGTCCTTTAGTTCCTTTAAGTGTGTGAAAAAGCCGTTAGCTTAAACAGGAACATTAATGCACTGAAAGATGGGTGCAGAGGTCAGCAGCAGGAAGCCAAAAGGGAGGGAACGGAATTTTTTTAGTGATCTGGCAGTTTACGTCACCAAATGCAAATGATACACAATTACTTTCTCATTGCTCTGTTTCACTCTCCCATGCTGATCTCTTTCCTGGGTGCTGACGTTTTTCCTCTACCCTGTCTTTGCTAACATTTTCTACTAACTCAAGCAACAAGCTGCCTTTGTTACAGGTGAAGGACTCGTGAAAGTTGCAGGGGCCTGCATCATCTGGGCTGTCAGAACTCCAGTGCCTTTTTCCAGGTTGCTGGCGTTTCTCACCATATTGGTCGTTTAGGTCTGCCTCATCATTCCAGCCTCTTTTGCTAGGATGCTGGCGCTTGTACATCAGATACCTTCTGCCTGGATGCTGTCTTTTGGATAACTCATTCAAGTAGGTTAGCTGTGCACCAGGGATGTCAGCATACTGATCCGACAATGACCTTCTGCCAGGATGCTGTCGCTTTTTCAGCTCCAGATAGCCGTCAAAGTCATCTTCTATCTCTCTTTTGCCTGGATGCTGCCTCTTCTGAATGTCTCCATAAGATGTGTCTTCCTCAACATATCTTTTTCCAGGATGCTGTCTCTTCTCCATGTCATTTAGGTACTTTTTTCCAGGGTGTTGTCTTTTGGAAAGCCATTCTGGCAGAGGGGCATTTGATTCTGTCCAAGGAAAAGAAAAATGTTAATGAGCTCCCATAGTCCTCACTAAGGAAGTTGAAATGGGAGTTTGTGGATTTCTATGGTGCAGGATCATCATCTGTTGCTCATTATGCCTATTTAATTGCACAGTTAACTGTATGGTCTTGAATTTGATCCCTCTGGATGGCATCTGACAAAACGGTTCTGGGACATTTTTAGCAAGGATGAATTGATACATTAGGAACTGGCTGCAGCCAAATGGGAAAACATGCAATGACAAAGCCTAATATGTTGATCCAGGTAAATGTGTCAGATTCAGGTAAAGAGAGGTGAGCAAAAGATGCTGAGCAGATGGAAGAAATCAGCTGCAGAAGCTGGGTATGGGGAAGAGCTGGAAATCAGCACGAGACAGGGAAAGGATGGGGCTGAGACACAAGTAGAAGCAGGGATGTAAACATTTGAAAGCCAGCTTGGTATTTCCAGCTACCAGTCATAATTCTATTAGTGTCTCTTACTCATTCTTAAGCTCTTTTTAATATTTCAGGTCTTAGATTGACACGACCAACTCTTAGCATTCACGTGAAGAGGGAGAAAGGCTCTTTCTACAGGCACCTGGGGCCAGCTCCTCTTTGCGCTATGAAATGCCTCTGCATTCCAGCCATGGAAAAGCCCACCTCTGTTGGGGTGTAGAAACCAGTGGGTTGAGGGAGTAGGCGAATGGCAGCACTCCCACCTCCAATTAACATTAGGTACAGGGTCCACAACTGGGGAATGTTCTCCACGTGTCCTCTTAGAGCTTCCCTAGGGAAGTACTTGCCAGACACACAAGTTTTCTGTGACATGCTTCTATCTTCTTATGCTGCAGCTGCTTAGTGGTGGTACAGCATTGCCTAAGTGGGGAGATCTTAGAGAAGAAGGTGCCTTTTGAGAACTCTGTGTCAGTGTATTGCAGCAGATCTCCTGTCCTTCCCCTCCCCTCAGTTTGAGTGATAAATACATACATTAGAACCTGGGAACTATATATTGGATCTAATGAACTCAGCCAAGTACTATGCCAACATCACCAGATGGATGTCCCCAGTGTTATATATACCTTTATTCATCTCTTCTTCCTTTTCAGCTTTGTTGAGGACAGACTGAAGAATGAGGCTTTCAGACCTCTGCAGGATGTCATCCAGGGGACTTCTTCCCAGGTTCTCATTTCCCTCTGGAAGGGGCTGCCCCCCGTTGAGGCAAACACTGCACAAGGTCAGGCAGAGGAGTAGCAGTGGCAGCTGGATAGATGTCATTGTGGTACAAGGGTTCCTGCAACTTCCATGGGAGAGAGAACAACAGGGGAGGAGGATGGAGCGAACAAGCCTAGCAATAGTAGCAGTGTTTCCAGACACTGAAAAAGAAATAGGGCACTGCTGTAGGAGCTGAAGTCTCTTATGAGGGTCCTTCCTCATTTCTGTTACTAACCTCTCCGTTTATTCTACATTCTTCAAAGAATCTGTAAATTCTTCATAATTACAACCAGGCACTTGCTCATTTTTCTGGCGAATAAATATGAACATTTTAAACACCTAACTTTCTGATGCACAGATAGTTCTGAATGCCAGTGATTTTGCTTTGCCTTCTGCAAAGGCAAAAATGATTTCTCTCTTGAACTCTGTGTTAACTGTTGCCCCACATGAGGTACACACATACGCCTGCACTAACGATTTCCACCAGGCAATTCCCTTTGCTAAGGGTTCATTTTAAAATAACACTGGGAGTTGCAGCACTTTCATTCCACCTTTAGTTAAAGCCCAACTTTAATACTCCATTAGTTTTTTAGTATCTATTTCTATACATTTAAAGTAGCTGTGTGTCTGTGTATTTGTCAATGTAATAAAATAGCTACGCACCGTTGGTCAGGGAGATTTCTTGCATTGGGGAAGCGCCTCATATTTTTTTCAGAGACATGATAATCATATCCTCTATTACCTCTTGCCCAGATAACAAGTGTTTTTCTATTTCTTCTAGCTAGCACTGGAATTCCTAAAGCACTTCTTATGCTTTTATTTTCCAGTAAGCAGAGTTCTTTCAGTAGAATGGAATACATCGTTAATACTAGTATAGCAGTCATTTAGGTTAATTATATCTTCAGAACACAAAACAAATGCACAATTGTACAAAGTTCTACAAATTTTTAAAATAGAAAATGAGTTTATTACCTCTCTTATTAGCAGGTTTCTGTCACTTCTGATGAAGTCCTTGGATAACAGCCCTAAGAATATCACGTAGGCTATTTGGCTCAGAGCAATCTTTAGAAAGAAAGTTAGAATCAGCTAAAAAGGAAATTATTTGGGAAATTACCTGGTTTGTAGCTTCAGATTTTTGCTTGATGTATCTGCCAAGAGATTGTTTAGTCCTTTAAAGCTGTTTGCACATCTGAGCTTCAAAGTTGCCCTTTTTCTGCTACAGACACACAGAGTATCCAATAGAACTGTTGCTAAGTTCTCTTTGGATGGCTTGTGTCTCTGTACTTATACTGTACTGCCTCTGGACCCTTTATGCAAATAGCTGTGAGGTAGTTTAGGTGATGTGGTTTTCTTTTTTTTTTTTTTTTTCACTGATGTCAGAGATCTGCATTTTGAATGCATTTTAAAACTCTGATAGTTATTTGCTGACCTCTGTATATCCAAGCTTGTCTCCCAGAAATTGCTATTTTTCCATCCTCTAAAGAGATTATATTTAATTTTATGTAACACAGCACAGAGAAAAGGAGGTTTTCCTCTGCTTAACAAAAAGAAGCTTGTGTATCCTCTATTAAGCAAGCACTGTGGAGTAAATGCAGAGAGGTAGGTAATTTATTAAGCCAAGGAAGAAAAACAATGAAAAAAATAAGTTTATACCATGGGTTCTTATTCTGAATGACACTATACAGTTTTTGACTCACAACTCTGTGTTATCTTGGCATAGGCTTCCATAAACAGTACATTAGAATACGGGGTGCATATCATTAGATATTAAAACACAGTTGCATTGCTGCTATGTGCTTCAAAAAGCATTACACTATTGTAACTAGAAATAAGACTCCCTGTCTTTAACCCATCTGTCTATTTGAGATATTCTTCCACACAGTACTACTGAAACCACATCACACAGGGGGCACAGATAAAGAGCTAGTGATTCTTTGATAATCTTAGTGATCCTGATGATAATATGTAGGACTAAAACTGGAGTAGGGATTGCTCTGACTATTGAAGCAATTCAGGATTCTTTTATTGTTACTACATGGAAGGTTTCAACCAAGCGAAGCCCATGTTTTTCTGCTTTCCCACTTACTACCATTGTCAGGAACACAAAACCACCTTTGTATGTCCTTCTCATCACTGCCATCAGAGTGTTTAAGTTAAAATTTTTCTTCAGCAGTAAGTAGCAACAAAGCCAAACAACCTGTTACTATGGCTTGAGAACATTTTTCTTGGTAGGACATTGGCATTTTAGCAGCTCTCTAGGGTGCTGGGCCATAGTCCAAGACAGGAGGCATTTTGGGGATACTCTTAAAAGCACTGCACTTAAAAGTGGCTCAGTTATGCTTATAGGTAATGTGGATCCTCATGTGGCCTGTAAAATTTTGTTAAGGCAAAAGGCATTTTGTGTCTGAACAGATGATGGAAATACCATATAAAACTAAAAAGGGGTGAAGTCAGTTGTTCTCTATCAACGTGACTTATTACCCATCAGAATTTAACAAAAAATGGTCATCATACAGAGCTTTTTTCCCGCACCCCATTCAACTTTATATGATGGATCAGAAAATACACAAGAAGAAACTTGTTTTCAGTTCTTTAGGAAATTAAAGCTGACTTCTTTGGGGTGACTTCAGTGGAATGCAGCCATTACCTCAGTCTTATTCCATGCGACTGTAGTTACCTCCTGAGTTTTGTCTTAATAGCTCATGAAAAATGCATCAGTAATTGTGTATAGATATGCTTTTTTTAATATTAATTACCCTTACGTAATTTGAGAAGAGTCTTGGATGTCTGTGCACTTGTTCCAGATTTGCAGTGGGGACAGAGATTGGGGCTTACAGCATTATAACTGTATTTGTAACAATTATATTTAAAATGGAATATATTTTACTTCTTGTTTGGATCTCTAAGGGAGTTTGAGGCATCACGCACCCTATGTGCAGAACACATCTATGGCTTTATGAAGATGTTGTCTTTGCCAATCCAAGACCACATCAATGTTGTTTTCCTGAGAAGGCATTAGAACCAAAGAACTGCAAGGCAATTAAATTCAAAGATCAACAGTCAATTTGCTATAGTGGGCCAGTAAACAATGACTGGGCAACTAATAGTCCCTCATCCAAAGCAAAGATCCCTGTGAAGACAGTTCCTATGTATTTTTAGTTTTAAGCAATGCACTAGGGCTTTCCAGGAATCTAAAGAATGCTCAAAAGTGTTTTAAATGCTTTCGTTAATACCAGAATTGCTTGTTTAACAAAGCATTAGCTGTCCGTAGCTTAGCCCCAGATTTGCGCTAACAAAATGCCTAATCCAGAGTGTACTTAAATCAGCCCGATTTCTCCTTTAATTTAAGACTTAGGACTTGTCTGTCTTGAAATGTTCCACGTATTGAATTGCATTTTAAAAAGTCCTTTCACACTTTTTTTTTTTTTTCACAAGAGCCTGGCTCTTGAAAAACATAAGTGGGAAAAGAGAAGGTTAAACAGCTGAAACTGTTCACATGTATGAAATCATATAAGCAAATTAACTGAAGGAACAGCTAAGAATTTGATATTAAAAATAGCCTCCCATATGAATGTATTTCATCTTAGCACTGAGTGAATGGGTCAAATTTCACTTGTGATACAACAGTTCACATTGAATTTCTCAGCTACCTAGAAATGATAGGATAGCTAAGACTCGTGCTTTGGAACTTTGTATGACTGTAATTTAATAAATCTGCATTTGCCACATATCTCCAATGTGAAAATCCTCATAACGTGTAATTATGAGCTAGAAATAATTCTTAGCATGTAAGTCCTCTTTCCAGTCTGAAATTAATCCGGAGAGCCTGGAAGGCTTGCCTGCGTAGCTCCCACTTGGATACCGCAGGAGCTGCTCCACACAGAAGCCTCTTACTGAATCTGGTCCTGCCTGTGCAGCAATGGCCAAATGCGTGGGACTGTGCAGTCCACGTCACCTAACCCTCCGTTACTTCCTTTTCATCACTCTCCAACCATCACAAACCAAACTGTGCCCCCTGATTTCTCTGGACAAGCTAATGGGTTTTCTCCATTATGCTATTTCTAGCATAGTCTAATACTAATGCCATTGGATTTGGGAACTGCTATTGTGTCTGTCACAGGGAACCTCTTAAGGAATTACATTTACTTCATACTCGCTGCTTGGCATTTCCTGGGTGTAGTAACTCCTTAAGATCTCTTATACTACAACATCTGAGTTTAACAAATGAATATATTGACCTATAAATTAGAGTGGGCATTGATGGAATCGGAACTGCATTTTTAAACGTGTCTTTAGAGTAAAGTGAAACAGAACAGTGAAGCTGTTAAGAATTCTGTTGCTGGCTCTGTACAATGATTTCTTGATAAGATGCTGAAGCTTTCTAAGTTAAAAAAAAAAAAAAGATGTTTTCATCATGTGGTTGAAGGCTTCAGTAATTCCGAATAGCTTCTTAATCTTACTTCATTATATTTTTTCTTCAGTTAATCAGATTTTCTCTATTCTTCTTAACAAAATATTTGGAACGCGTTAAGCATTGTGACTGCTATCTGTCACGTAGAGTTTATTGCTTCTGCAAGGCAAGTGGTGTGTGAAGTGAATTGGCTTGTTTTGGCAGGGTTTTTTGAAAGTTAGATTGCATGGATAGCTAGGTTGCTATCTGTGTATTGTGCAGAAGCAATGTTAAAAATTTGTCTTGCTCTTGGTGGGGCACAAGATGGGGGTTGTACTGGTTGTTATTTTCCGGTGAAGTTTATCCACAAATCTTGAGCCAATCCCTTAATCCCAATGGGAAGTTCTCTCATGTGCACAGACCATCAGGCAGCCGGGAGCAGTCGGGAAGTTCTAGAGACAGCAGATCTGAGCAGTGTTCTTAATGGATGAGTTTGGGGCATTGGTTCCTCACCAGCCCTGCTAGGAAGCTGGTCTCAAAACTGGGTGGATTTTTTATTCAGCTAAAATGTATTTACAAAGCACTTCAGTTTTGAAAAAGCATTTTCTAACAGAAAATTGTTTCTGTGGTACATCCCCAGTCAGCTCTTGGGCATGGGATGTTCTTATTAAACCGTCAACTCCAGCCCTCTAATCACAAATACAGGAGTAGGTTTGCAAGGCAGGCAATATCTTCAGTCCCTTAATCTCTGTACTTACAGGTACCAATACCCCATCCGAGACAGCACTAGTGTCGGTCTCTGTTGTCCAGCTGTCATCGTGTTCAATTGAGC